AAACTTTAGGTGGATAAACTTTAGATGTGTAAACTTTAGGTGTATCAACTTACTAAAAGAGGAAAATATAAAATATTTGAATTCGAATATGAATTTGAATCGGGTATATAAACTTTTGACTTATAAACATTCGCTCTACAAACTTAGGTGGATAAACTTTAGATGTGTAAACTTTAGGTGTATCAACCTACTAAAAGAGAAAAATATAAAATATTTGAATTCGAATTTGAATTTGAATCAGGTATATAAAGTTTTGACTTATAAACATTCGCTCTACAAACTTTAGGTGGATAAACTTTAGATGTGTAAACTTTAGGTGTATAAACTTACTAAAAGAGGAAAATATAAAAAATTTGAATTTGAATTTGAATTGGGTATATAAACTTTTGACTTATAAACATTCTCTTTACAAACTTTAGGTGGATAAACTTTAGATATGTAAACTTTAGGTGTATAAACTTACTAACAGAGAAAAAAATAAGAAAAGAAAACGATCGCTGCCAGCGATCAACCGCGCGTTAGCCTTTCCGGTGACACATCAAATTGTCAGGATCATCGTTGGGCCTTAGGTTGGTAATTAATCAGCGAACTAATCACATGCCATTCATCTACCTCTTTCGGCCCAAAAGGATCTCCTGAAAGTAAAGCATTGTCTCCCTCTTTGCATCACCTCTGCCACTAGAATATCTTGCTGATGGCAACATTTTTCCCTTTCTACTTCACATATTGTTACTTCTGCAACAAACAAAATCTAGTTGAAGCCATATAGCTAGGTCAATTCTTGGTCCTTTTTACTTGACCTTTAGGGGATCAACGCATATATATTTTGGTTTCTGGTGCACATATTTGATTATTGCCATTTTGAATCACATATTCCTGAAAATTTTGATATTATAACAAGATGAAAGTAGTTTTATGTACTAATGTGATCATTTTGGCATAAAAAATGGAAATATTTCTACGACAGCCAAGTAATGTCATTTTGAAATATCAAATCTTAGTATTTATTCATGCAGCGTGTTATGATTTTAAGGAGCACACTGGTGGAAAACCCATCTTCACTTCCGGTTCGTAACCCCTTTAATCCCGCGTACATAGCCGGGACCCCGAATCCGGGACTAAAGATGCCCATCTTTAGTCCTGATTGAAATAGCCGGAACTAAAGATGCCCATCTTTAGTGATAGTGTCACTAAAGATGCCCATCTTTAGTGGTAGTGTCACGTGGCAGGTGCTACCATCTTTAGTCATTTTTTCATTGTTTTTTGTTGTTTGCATATTAATTTCTAGCCAAACTCCATAATAAAATCATCAACATTCACATAAACATCACAAAATCATCCACGGTCACAAAAATCATCCATATCACAAATTTACAGATCCAAATGCATCACAAATGAACAAATTCACAGATAAATCAACCAAATCTAACACTTTAATCTACCGGGACCCCGTCTTCTCGCGCCGCCTCCCTCCACTGCCTCACCGTCGCCGTCGCCGCATGGGGCCGCCGCCACTCGCTCCCTCTATTGCTACAAGAAAAAGTGAAGGAGAGGATAAGAGAGAAAAAGAAAAGGAGAGAATAAGAGAGAAAAAGAAAAGGAGAGAATAAGAGAGAGAGGAAAGAGAGAGTGGAGAGAGGATGAAAGGGAGGGGGGAGTGTTTGTGATCTAGGAGGGGAGGATAAGTGCGAGGGATTATATACGACGTGTTGAATTTTAGTCCCGGTCGGCAATACCAACCGGGACTAAAGATAGTAAGGGGCCGGTCACTTTTTGAACCGGGACTAAAAATGATTTTTAGTCCTGATTGGTGTAAAAGTGACGTTGGCTTTTCAACCGGGACAAAAAAATAATGTTTAGTCCCGGTTCTTATTGGAACCAGGAATAATGTTGTTTTTGGCGAACCCAACAAAGATGGTTTCTCCAGCAGTGGCACTACATTATTCTAAACACAATCTATTTGAGAATAAAGAGAGTATATTTGTATATTGATTTTTTTATCATCTTGTTATTTCCTGCCACCATTCATAAAGTGGATAAAATAAATCTTACTATTCTTACAATGATGTGATATACACACACATACATACATATATATATATACATATATATATATACATATATATATATACATATATATGTATATATGTATGTATGTATGTATGTATGTACGTATGACATGCATCAGGACATGTTTGCGGGTGGAAGTGAAACAACATCAACAACACTCGAATGGGCCCTGAAGTGATGCAGAAGGCACAAGCGGAGATACGACATGCTTTGCAAGGAAAGTCTAGGGTAACTGAAGATGACTTGATTAATCTAAAGTACCCAAAGAACATCATCAAGGAAACCATGAGGTTGCACCCTCTAGCATCTCTACTTGTCCCAAGAAAGTGTCAAGAGTCATGTAAAATCCTTGGATATGATATTCCAAAGGGAACAATCTTGATCGTGAATGTATGGACTATTGGCAGAGACCATAGATATTGGGATGACGCAGAAGTGTTTATACCAGAGCGTTTCGAGGACACAACCATTGATTTTAAGGGTACACATTTTGAGTTTATATCATTTGGGGCAGGACGGAGGATGTGCCTAGGCATGACATTTGCACATGCAACAATAGAGTTGGCTCTCACTGCTCTTCTATACCACTTTGATTGGCATCTCCCTCACGGTGTAACACATGATGGGATGGACATGGAGGAGCAATTTAGCGTGACCGTCTCTAGAAAAAGAGATCTTTATCTACATCCGATACAACACGTGGGAGTAGAAGAAATATAATGAGAGCAACATATTATCTAGTTTGTCACACATTGTTATGGAAATTGCTCACAATAATGTCAAAGTATCGTATGGTGAATATTTATATTTTTCTCTCATGTATCATGCATCATGTATAGCTGCTCATGTGCATGATGTTGTCCTATAGGGGTGTTTGGTTTATGGCCACACTTTGCCACACTATACTTTTGGCTACCACAGTTTGTTAATCACGTGTCATAGACTCAATTTTCTTGCTAACTTTGTCACACTTTGTGATTAGCAATTTATCCACTATATTTTTGTGACTACCACAACTTATCTAACCTTGGTTATGACAAAATGTGGCTAATAATCAATCACACACTACATACTTGCTTATCAAATACATCACTACCACAGAAACACCTATTCCAACAACTCTATTAATGTCTTGTTTCATCATAAACTTATAGGAACCTGGAGTGATACTAAAATAACAACCTTTTATCCTTTTCTCTCTCTGTTTCTTTTTATTCCTTTTCAATCTTCAACTCTGGCTGGGTCTCCATGGAAGTACCTAGATCTGCAGCATAGTAGAAAAACCGGACCGGACCGATGGTTCGAACGAAAAAACCAGAACCAGAGGTAAGCACGGTTTGTTTTCCTTCAAAGACCAGACATTCAATCGAATAGCTTTGAGCCGACTTAACCGGCCAATTTTTTGGCAAACCAGACATTAAACTGGAACTAGTTGGACAAGCAGCCATACTAATGCAACTGGTGGGTGATCCGGTCGATTTCTCGGTTAAGTGGTCCGCCGGTCCGACCGGTGACCCGGGCGGTCAAACCGTGGTCACAGTCTACATGTATATATATTACATATTCCCTTATGTTATATGTTGTTGGATAGTATGATGGCTATAGGACTTTGCTCTTTCAACTCCTGGACCAGAGGACCAAAGTTCGATTTCCACCTAGTGCACCTTTTCCATCTATTTTTGCCAAAAAAAAAACCACCAGCTGCACTAGTTGTTAACAAATGGGCCATTAGACAGCACATTTGTGGCCCGTTAGTATGGCTGCCGGTCCAGTTCGCCAAAAACCCGGCCGGTGCAGCCGGCTCAAAGCGGTTCGATTGCATGTCAAGGAAACCTAACCGCTTACCTCTGGTTCCCTTCTTTTTTTTCTACTATGGAAGGGAGTATGTTATCGACCGATCAAGTGCCCTTAGTTGCAATTACTCGTTGGTTTGAAAAAAAAATAAAGATGTATTTTGTTTCTTTAGGACGAGATTTTGACTAAAAATTACTCTATTAGGATATAAATCTACCTGACACAAAATTTATGTTATTAAATCCCTATTCAAAAGTATTTACTTATGATTATGTTTTTATCACATATCTCTACAACAATAAATGCGCAGGCGTCACTACTGGAGAACTGATCTTTATTAGGTCGACCCAAAACCACAATAGCCCCGGTTCAAAAAAGAACTGGGACTAAAAATCACCTTTAGCCCCGGTTGGAAAGCCCATAGCCTTTTTATGATCTTTAGTCCTGGTTGGTGATCATTTTTAGTCCCGGTTGAAAAAGTGTCCATCCCTCTACTCTTTTTATTCCATGTTGGGAACACCAACCGTGACTAAAAATTAAGAGGGAAAAAATGGAAAAAAAAAAGGAAAAACATCCAACCGGGACTACAAAGGTGCGAACCAGGAGAGATTAGGCATTGTCCGGTAGTGCGTCGTCATATCCCTACTCATGTGTGCAAGCACCGCCCTCTGAAAAATTCATGCTGTTGGTTAAAAGGAGAATCATAAAAAAAAAGTTGATGGTTAAAAAAATAACCGGCTAGATTATTTCAATATATACTAGCAAGAATCACGCGCTACGCTGCGTGCATGGGTATAAATGTTTCAAGCTGTGTTATTAAGATCAAAACAACACAGGTGACTTCTTTTCCCAACTTTCTCAACTCAACTCAATCATTTTTCACGTGCCCGCTTTTCAAACTACTAAACGGTATATTTTTTGCAAAAAAATTTCTATACGAAAGTTGATTTAAAAATCATATTGATCTATTTTTCAAAAAATAATAATAAATACTTAATTAATCACGTGCTAATGGACCACTCCGTTTTCTGTGGTCAGGAGATTGGTTCCCAACACACCCAAACGAACACAGCCACAGTATCTACAGTTGTAACTTTTAAGAATTATATATAAACATTGTCTAAAAGAACTTTATGTCAGAAGCATACCCACATATGCATGTACACATTGTGACTATCACCAAGATTTAAATGTGAATACAATCTGTTTGCTCAAATAATTGTTTGTACAATCATGTACACTTACAAAAAAGTAGCAATGACAGAGGAGAATGGATCTTACATAATGTGGAGTATAGGTTAGAAAAAACAACAATCATTAGGTGATATGAGAATTGCAGCATTTTCTCATAGATACCTTCGTCATGAACTAATTGAATCTTTTCTCATCTATAGCACTGCAGCACAAAGAAAAATTTAGTGCTTTAGCTTAATAAAAACAACAGTACATCACTTACAACAGATTAGTAGACGATTGGTACCTCCTTTGCATAATGGCACAGAATTTTGAGGTATCCCCTATAGAATACAGGGCATGTTTGGATGTCATCCATATATTGCTACACAATGAGTATATAGTAGGTAGTACAAATACTCATATAAGAAACCGTGTTGAAATATCTCTGTAGCTTTGGAGAAGGGGCAAACATAACATTTCATGAATTAAAAAAGTTATAAAATCATATTTTGAAGTCAGCTTATAATGAAAACTCTATAAGTATATTTGCAAAGAAAAAATTCAATTGGAAGGATGGGTTATTAGAAAATTCCAAAACAATGCAGCGCTGAAAAAAAAATGAAAGTAGGAATAATGCTTGTCAAGAAAAAATTACACCCCAGTGTGCCCTATTGGAACATATGACATGTCTCATGTAAAATTGTTTGAAGTGCATGTCACTTCGTCACACACAAATAAATTGAAATAATACTTTATGATCAAAGCAGAAAAGAGAATAACACAGTACGTATAGCTAGAGATACTAAGGGTTGGATTCTTTGGAATAGCACATATGTATTGTTAATCGGTATGGACTACACAGATCAACCGAGAATGGAACTATGCAGGTTACAACTCAGAAGTACCTGTGGCTTTAATCCTCTCAGGCAACCATGGTTTCAGTGTCACTGAAACACCCTGCAAACAACGCTAACCTATGAAATCAATGTTCCATTAAATATTAAACAATAGTAGCAGATATAGAAATGACTATAGCACAAGAAAAATGTTAGCTAACATACATAGGGCCAGCACTGATTTTAAAAATGTAGTAATTGCGGTCTAGTAAAGTTCACAAATACTGAAATCTTCAATCGAACCAAATAAATATTTGTTCGCTAGATGTACAACATAATCTGTGATTACTGCCTTGACTTATAGACCCAATATTGACCCAATGTATTGGTTACAATATGATTCGTAGAATAATGGAGCTTCCTCCAGATAGGAGGCTAAAAGACCTGCACCATGAAATCATATCATTACCTTAATATCGGCACAATTATCTGTCTATACTGAGCCGTAAAGACCCTGAGGTTTGTCTCATAGAAAATTAACTGCATGATCCAAATATAAGGGTAATATGCCAAGATTGTCAGGCTTACAGTGAATTTCTGATGATGTATGCATCACAATAGCCAATATAAGATTGTCGACAAAGAATACCATCAATGCAAATGCGTATGTTACCATTATGTGTACTGAATTAGCGCACGACGAATTAACAAATAAAATATGATTTGTTGGAGAGGAAGGAAATTGAGGCAAAACCTTCTGATAGCATAAACATGATATGCTATCGTGGAACTAAACCTAAATTATCTGATAAGAAATATGAAGACCACATATATCATCAAAAGAAGACAATAAGAAAACATCCATACCTAAAAACAGAAGCATAGAAAGGTGACAGCAAGAAAACTCATTGACATGCCCACAAAATATTATTACCAGTATTGTACAATGAAGGAATACTGACATTACTTCAGAATTCACTCATTAACATTTACAGGAAAATGACAACTAAGCAAAGAACATCAAAACTTGAACTCTCCAACTAACTTTTTATATTTTTGAAGTATATATCTTGGGGAAAAAATCACATCTGCCATGTAGTACTATATCATATACATTTATCTACAATCCTGAATGAGCGTAATTGATAATAATAAAAAAAGGTTTTTTTAAGTATATATTCTTGTAGACCAATTTGTTAAGATTCCAGAAACAATTGGCATATATATGTACCGATGTACATCAGGATTTCATTATGAAGGATGATGTACACATCTTTAACCTGTACATTTCTGGTAGTTGACATAGATGGTGCACTGTCATCTTCAATATTTTATCATTATTAGTGAAAAGTTTTTTACGCAGAAGTTAGCTGGCATAAAAGTTATACGACATTATAATTAAAAAAGTTGCAGGAACAAATGTATTTGAGAATAAACTTAGATTTGCCACTAAAAATTTTACCAAGCACATAGAACGCTTTTGTTAAAGAGAGAAATTTTACTGGCGTCAGCCTAATCATTTCTTCTCCTCCTTATCTCAGAAGCCCGCATAGGAGCCGATCAGCCGAAGAGAGCAAACTGAAAAGGAAGAAATTCAGCAGCATACCTGAACGACTATGGTGTTATGTGCGGTGACAACGGAGGAGCAGATTGCTCCCAGCGTGGCGCAGGCCTTGATGTGGGCCTGGATGCCACCATCGCTGCCACCAGCATGAACAACACATGCGGCCATGGCATCTAGTGGGCCATCGTAGCAGGCTATTGGTGAGGGGCACAAATGCTGTTAGGAGAAGATGGTTGAGAACCCATAATAATATACATTTCAAATCCATTTTCTATAATAATATTTTCATAGTAAAATTTTGCTGCTCCTATATAAAGCTATTTTGATTTAGCACGACATTCATATAGTGTAAAAAAAACATATACAGATGACCAAGAAAATCTGTCAACTATTACAGTGCAAAAGATCTTAATCATATCATATAGGCAGCTGCAGTAATCCTTAAACTTTTGTAGACATAATAGCAATCAACAGAATGATGTCAGCAACCTGAAAACATATATTAAATTCCAATACAATATATACAGGACAGAAGGAGAGGATTTGATCTGTACCTGGACGGTGATGTTTAAACTTTAGTACTGAATAATCTAGCATTCTAGCCTGCACTCCCTTTTTTCTTTCCTTCCTACCAATCATGTGAAACTCATAATGAGCAGCAAGTCAAGAATAGAGATCAGGGGCTAGAACAGATATGTATATATGCATATAATAGGGATTTAAGTAGTAGTGTACCAAATTGTGTCTGCTGATGGCTTCAGCAGAGGAGTAGAACAACAAATATGGAATCAGCGCAAGCAAGCAGGCTGGATCGATCATATATATTGATTAAGAGGATTAGGCAAAGGGAGTGTAAAGTTGACCTGGGGAGGAGTAGAATGCGTGGTAGCAGATCGTCAGGTCGCCAGGTCGCAGAGGTGACGAACCAGTCCCGGCAACTCCCTACGGTGGCGAACTAATCCCAGTGAGATTCGGCGACACCCAAACTGTCAGGGGAAGGGAACGGAGACATTGCCTGCGGCGAGAGGGCGCGGCCGGGGAATGAGATGGCGCTTCCGCTATCCCGCGGAGAGAGGGCGAGTGAAAGGAGACGGCGCCACCATCGTCTTGCAGCGAGAGGGCGAGGCGGCGGCACCAGCCATCGGGCGTGGGGGTGGGGCGCGAGGTTGGGGGCGGCTGGGCAGCGCTAGGGTTTTGTGGGGGAGGGTGAAAGCATGATATCTAAGCCGTTCATTCCCAAATCACCGATCCGAGGGCAGTGAAACATCCGCCAGCTGAGCCACACGGATGGTCGGATCGAGCCTCACGGCGATCGTACGGTGAACACAAACTCGGATGTGGGCATTATTTTACGAAAGCAGGAGGGTTTTTCTGAAAAAATCGCATGACGTGGCGCTATAAATTCCAAGCATTCCCACAGCGTTTAAGTAAACCAATATGCCCATGCAGCCCATCTCTATATAGGCCGTTGCAATGCACGGTCACGCTAGTACTATGAGATAAAGCCATTATTAGTCAAAGACTTATCTTAATAAAAAAAATCATGTATTACAATAATAAAAAAGTAAAGTGCACAATTAATCTCTAAACTTGTGCGTCGGTGTCATGTAGGTCAAACTCCCAAAATGCAAAAAAAAAAAGATCTTAAAACATGTTAAAGTGTGTCATTCTGGTCTGATATTGCTACGAAGCCCTCTGGGATGTTACTTGGTGCTGACATGGCATGCCACTTGGATGCTGATGTGACACCAACACTAACTTTACATTGACTGACAAGTGGGACCCACCTAAAACATTTTATTTTCCTTTTTTTTCTTCTTTTGTTTTTTTTCCTTCTCATCCGCTCCCTTTTCATTTCTCTTGTCTCTTTTTTTTTTCCTTTCTCTTTTTCCATTGTGGCGTTGGCGGCAATGATATGTGTTTCATCTCTAGCACCGCGGCAGCGCACCCTGAACACCTCGTCTGCGTCACTAGGGGCACAGATTGTAGCTCACTGAAGTTCCTCTCCACCTGGCATAAGGTGGGGCGAGACGGTGGCTTCACGAGTGGAGCGGTGGCTCATCCAGCTGCAAACACGAAACTGTTAAATAGAGATTAAATTCCGTGAATTAAAGCCGAATTGAAAGGGGAATTATGGAAAAATAATGATGGAGGAGTGGAGAATTAATATTTGCAATAAATTAAAGGAGGAAACATACGGTGAAGTAGATCGATGTGGCGATGGCGATAGGGTTCGGCCCACCGGTGGCTGGAGGCGTGCTGCGCACATGTGCGGATCAGACCAGACGAGATAAAAAACGGACTTAACGCGTGTGCGAAAAAAAAACCTTCCACGTGCAAAAAAAAAATCAGAAAAAAGGCAAAAAAAAAAAAAAGGATGAACCAACAAAAACCGGAAGCTTTATGTATTTTTTTTATTATTAGCTATAAATATAGACATAATTTTCTTCCTCTTACTAAAATAAATATATAAGAATGGCTTATTGGGTATGCAGAAGCATATGTATTCACAGAAAATATACAACCATCTGGAATCTAATTCGGAAAATCAGTTCCAACTTGTATAGTGTTTTTTTTAAAAAAATGTTCTCTTTGTTCCCAAATAAATTACTTGTTAGATCCATAGCAACGCACGGATGGTACTTCTAGTGTAACGTTAACCGGTCAGCCATAATTGAAGCTTTAATCTGCTGGTGTCATGGTTACACTATTAATTAACTACAGGAAAAAAATGCAGTAACAGTCAACATATTTTTTTCCCCTTATGTTGCTGTCTCCGCTAGGTTTGGTTTCTTTGGTGACAAAACTGAACAAGATTTGCATGCTCATCTCGTTCTTACTACATATCATCTTAAATCAATCTTCCGATCCGTTTAACACGATTCAACAATTAATGGGGATTTGTCCAAATCTCCAATTCGACGAAGCACAATGGATCATTCGCATCAAACGTATTCTTGATGAGGAGATCGAAGTCCATGACAGCCAACCCATCTCCATCTTTGATGTCCCAAAGCCCCTACTATGCACCAAACCTGAAGCCTACACCCCTCAGCTGGTTGCGCTTGGCCCTTACCACCATTGTCGCGAAGAGCTCCGTGACATGGAGATGTACAAGCTCTCTGCTGCCAGGAGAGCCCAACGCCACCTCCCAGGTATGAGCTTCCAACAGCTCGTGGCTGTCTTCGCTACGCTAGAATTCGAGATTCGAGCTTACTACCACAGGTCAGTTTGCATGTAAAAGAAAGGATTCGACTAACTTCATATTCCATCCCTATCAATATACTCACTCCGTCTCAAAATAAGCACAACCATAAGTTTTCGTGTCTAATCTTGATCGTTCGTCTTATTTGAAATGTTTTTATGATTAGTAATTTTGTTATTATTAGATTATAAAACATGAATAGTACTTTATGCGTCACTTATATTTTTTTTAGCTTTTTCAGAAAATTTTCAAATAAGATGAATGATCGAAATTGGACATTGGAAACTGATGGCTGCGTTTATTTTGGGACGAAGGAAGTACCTGTTAATTTCTTTTTTTTCTCTAGGCATCTAGGCCTCAGCAATGACGCACTAGCATGGATGATGGCCATCGACGTGTCGTTCCTTCTCGAGTTCTTGCAGACGTTTAGCCAGGACAGTAGCCAGCGGGCAGCGCTGCAGAGGATCCCGTCAAGGATGTCGCATTTGGTTGATCCATCTCGGAGGACATCCTCTCACACCATGGTGCTGCACGACGTTGTCATGCTGGAGAACCAGATCCCTCTGTTTCTGCTCCTCAAGGCGACGGAAATGCGAGGCTCGTCGCGTGCGACAGCGGAATCTGTCCTGAGCTCCGTCCTGTCCGGGTTCTTTCAGGAGGTCTCCTCCCTCGTGGCCACGGGCTCTCCGTGCACCGACACGACACGACACGCCCACCTTCTTGATTTCCTCTACTCTAACATGGCTCCATGCTATGTCGAAGGATTGGATTTGGATGATGCCACAGAACAAGCAGATGATGATGATGATGATGATCAATCGAAGCATCACATGAAGAGTACTCTGCGTTCATTAACAGACCTGCTCATCAAGCGTGTCACCAAGTTTCTTTCAGTGCTGGTTGATCTCGGTGTTAGGATCATACTGAAGCTCCTCACCAGAATACCATGCCTCTCAATGATCGCGCAACAACTGAATTCACAGCCAACACAAGGACAACAACCCATTAAGGATTTTCAGAACAACAAGAGCTGCGTATCGCCGCTTCTCGAGGAGATCGCGGTGCCTTGTGTTGCCGAGCTAGCTTACTCCGGCGTCAGGTTCGTCCCGGCGAACGGCGGCATCTCCACGATCGAGTTCTGCGCGGAAGCCGCGACGCTGCGCCTCCCGGTGATCCGGGTCGACGTGAACAGCGAGGTCGTGCTGCGGAACATGGTCGCCTTCGAGGCGTCAACAGGGCGCAGAGCGCTGGTGCTGGCGAGGTACGTCGAGCTGATGAACGGGATCATCGACACCGACGAGGACGCCCGGCTGCTGAGGGAGTCGGGGGTGATCCTGAACCACCTCAAGAGCGACAGGGAGGTGGCGGAGCTGTGGAATGGGATGACGAGGTCGGTGAGGCTGACGAGGGTGCCGGCGTTGGACAGGGTGATCGACGACCTGAATCGGCATCACGACAGCTGCTGGAAGGTGAGGATCAACAGGTTCTTGAAGGCGCGGGTTCTTGGCTCTAGGGAGCTCGTGGCGTGCATCACGATGGCCCTGCTCATCCTCTTCATGAGCCTCCAGGCTTTCTGCATTGCCAGGACAAAGGGCGCTGATTGATGCTATCTATATCCTCCGACGGAAAAGACTATCTATAACTACCATAAGTTGTGGTGCAGCCAAACCATTTCACTTTCTCCTGATCGATGTACAGTTACGTGTCTGGAATGTAAGGCCTATAGATGGCCATCTGGGCCGCCCGGCACGGCCCGGCCCAGGACCGGCCGTGCCTGGGCCGAGGCTTGTCGGGGCCCGGCCGATGCACCGGGCCGTGCCGTGCCAGCCCACGGGCCGCACACATGGCCCAGGCACGGCTCAACACGACTTGGGCTGTGTCGGGCCGGCCCGAAGGCACGACGGCCCATCGTGCTTTTCCTCAGAATAAGTCTTATTTTCCTCTCTCTTGGGCTGTGTCATATATAGGTAAAAAAAGTCTATTTTACCTCCCTCTACTTGGGGCCCCTAAGGGGCGATCAGTCGCGCCCCTGGCGTGGCGCGCGGTCAGTTTCTGACCCTTTAGTCTCTCCTCTCTACTACATGTATATACGTATGTACTAGTAGCATGCCCGTGCTAACGCTACGGTAACATGTCGTAAAACATATTAAATAGTCAAAATAAGATGTGGTAACAACTAACTATAGAATGAGATAGGTTGGCATAGGAAATATCATTTTTGTTAAAGTAAGGACTTGTGGTAGCAAACCAATTTCACCCAAAAGGAAGCTCAGTCAGTTCTGGTACAACTTTTTTACAGACTTTCTTACACCTTTTATAAAAAAGAACTGATTCATTCAGCACCAAACACAGCCCTTGGATCTGCCATTAGGGAATATCCACACACACACACACACACACATATATATATATATATATATATATATATATATATATATATATATATATATATATATATAACCTGAAGAATTATCTTCAGCCGTGGTTAGTGCTGGTTCGTGCCACTATGTGTAGGTAGAAAATAGTACTAACTGGTGGCGCCAATTAAATTTAGGAAGAATTAACTGGATACAATTACAAGAATGTTGATTCCATTATGGAGCAGCATATGCTCTCAGGCGGCATAAATAGTGCACCCGCACCCTACCGTCGAGGAAAAAAACATAATTTTGCAATCAATCGGATTAGAATTAAATTAGGGTTCAACTCAATAAATATGTTCCACGGTGCTTGCACCAACTAAGTGATGCTGACCTGTAGTTAGAAATATAACAAAACATAATAACCCATGATAAAACTGAAAGCATCTTGTTATTAAAATCGATAGTTGAGTTAGTTCTTTGACAGTTTTTGTAGAGTAAATACATCTGAAAATAAAGCTCCAGATTTACCAGGGTGATTCACACGATCTAGCAGCTTTGCTCCAACACAAATTGAACCCATATGCAAATGTCTGAAATAAAGTACAGTTAGCTATTTTATCTCATCGAAGGAAATAAAGTGCGAATGCTTTTTCATCCTAATCCTTTGTAAATATAACTCCATCAAAATGCAGTGTATGCAGAGAAATCCTATCATTTTGAACCATTTGAAATCCTATCATTTTCAACCATTTTCTTTAACATCAAAGTCGATTTTCAGCATCACCCTATCATCAAAGTCCATTTTCCACATCGTCCTCTCATCAAAGTCCATTTTCTTAACGTCGAGCTTCATTTTCAGCCTCCCTCCCCTGTGCCTTCCTCTCATCTTATGCAGAGTATGCTCAACTTCATAGATTTACAGTAAAAGATCCAAATCAAATTTGGCAATAAAATCTTTATTAACTTGTTTGAGGATCTAGGAACAGAGGATACATTGCCTTAACCTGCATACTCAGCTGCTCCTTGATCAACAAATTGCAGCACCAAGGCTGCAGAGTCCCCTAACCTGCGAGATGCTCAATTTTTCAGCCTGCTACGCAGAAGCAAAAAAACAATCTGCAGTCCGCTTATCCACTTGGCAATCTGCCATACTTCCCAGTACTTCTACAGCTAAAAATGTTGCCACAATCAAGCAAATGCTATAAAGGGAGGTCAAATTTGCAAGTAAGATATATTGATTGTATTGTTTCAGTCTACCCGCTTCTCTAAATAACCACTATTTGATGTAAACTTAGGATAGAACTTGGTTTTAAATCCAGCGACTATTCTGCATCAGATTAACCGTACTATATATACTGAAGGTCTGAAACATGCAAAATCATGCCTAAATTTGACCAATTTGTCAACGGATATGCTAGACGGAGGAATTCAGGAATCATAACACCATTTAATAATGGGATACATGTGGACACAAATATGCAGGCCAAAATTAAGGCAGCAAGAAGAGAACATTCTTATCTTTTCAAAATACTGTAAGAGTGTGATTCATTCCTTGCAATAAAGATACTACATTACGCCATTCTGCATCTTAAAAAATGGCATTGAAATGGGACCGTTTTCCATATATTCCAACAGATTGTTGCAGTAGAAAAAATGAAACCCATGCCACAAATAACTCAGGGACATCACATTGGTGCAATCAAAGAATCAATGAAACACTTTTAGCATGTTTAAACTCCACAGCACAAGCCTGATACACAAAAACACAAATTTGTTTGGTCAGCGAGCTAGATATTAATTAGTAACCTGATTGCGACAGCATGGATCACATCGATCCCCTGCACCACTGCAGCCACCCCTAATGATTTCTTATTCTTACAAAGATGGCAAAACAGGAGCTGAAGAAAGCAAATTAAAGAGAAAAATAAGAGATCGGGTAGCTTACTTGGTGCAGCGTAGGCTTGATGTCTTGCCTGGATGCCGGCGACGCCGCCAGATCGGAGCTTCGGAGCTGGTGCTGATGCAGTGAGCTAGTACATGTGGGATTTTGTCCGTGGGTATCTAAACCATACATCAGGGGCAAATGACGGCACCTGGCGAGAGGACGGCCAGCTTCAAGACGGCGGCGGAGGTGGTTTTGGCACCGCGCGAGGCTGTTCCAGGGATCAGGCACGCTGGGCGGAGATGGCCGTCGACGACGGTGCTCGGATTTTCGTTGAGGCTGTTCCCCGAAGACTCCAGGCGACGGCGATCTGGCGGCACGGAGGCGGGCATACAAAGATCGGTGGCGTCGCGAACGAGAGTAAGGGTAGAGCGGCGGGCATCGGTGTCACGGCGGCGGAGAGGCGAGGAGCCGGCGGCGACGAGTTGTGAGCGACGGCGGCGAATCGTGGGCAGCGCTCGCAGAGGAGACCGGCGTGGTGGAGAGGCGAGGGGCGGCGGCGCGGTGTGGGGACGGCGACGGATTGGGGGTTGGCGTGACGCGGGGAGAGAGAGGGAGCGGCGATGGCGGTGCGGTAGATTGGAGAGGGCGGCGGTGATCGCGGGTCTGGTGATGAGGCGACGCGGCGGCGGGGCAAGGAGGCGACGCAGGGAGGAGGGCGAAGGACGCGGCGTGGGGAGGGAGAGGAGATCGATCCGAGAGAAGGGGAGAGGAGCGATGCGCGGTGGGGAGGAGATCGAGGCAGTTGGATATGGCAATCGGATGGTTGAGATTACGTGTGTCTGTCAAATGCGTCTGCTGTGTTAGGAATCAAGACCACCACTACCGATTTTTTAAGTAGTAGAGATATACTTTATATACATACGTATAAACTTTATACATGTATATACATATATACTTATAAAGTTTATACGTATATATATAAAGTATATACATACATATATTTCTAATATGTATTATGTATAAAAATTATATACGCGTATACAGAGTTTGTATACGTCGTATATAAAGTTTGTTTATGTATGTATACAAAATATACCAACTTTATGTACGTATATATACAAAGTTTGTACATCTATATATAAAAAGGTACTCATATACAAAATTTATATACGTGTATACAAAGTTTGTATACGTATGTATTAAAAAACCAAAAAAAGAAAAAGATACGGAAAGAAAAAAAACACGTCATGTATATACATATATACTTTATATACATAAAGTATATACATACGTATATTTCTAATATGTATATATGTATAAAAATTATATACGCATATACAAAGTTTGTATACGTCGTATATACAATTTGTATATGTATGTATACAAAATATACCAACTTTATGTATGTATATATACAAAGTTTGTACATCTATATATAAAAAGGTACTCACATACAAAATTTATATACGTGTATACAAAGTTTGTATACATATGTATTAAAAAACCAAAAAAAGAAAAAGATACGGAAAGAAAAAAAACACGTCGCCTGCGGCCCCATCTCCGCGCGCGGGGGAGTGTAACAGCCCTCTCTCCAGAACCGTGTAGCCCAGACCAATCGACAAGCGGGCCCACTTACACATACCACCCCATTTACACTTTCGTCCTCGTTTCGTGTAAAAGGGTTAACCCGGGAGTGATATGGTTGGAGGGAAGATGCCTTATAAGTCGGTTCCACTCGTGCTAAACTTGCAAGGTGGTACTAAACATGTGCACACAGCTCACATGGGCCACACAGGCCTAATCCTTATTGGGCCGGGATGTCACGGGGAGGGGGCGCGCGACTAATCGTGTATTAGGGATTTCGCCTCTTTTTTGGGTTGTGATATATAAATAGCTAAAATAAGTCTATTTTACGTCCCTATTCTTTGGACCGTGATATTAATATGTCTATTTTTAGTCCCTATACTTTGTGTGTCGGGCCTAGCCTGCCGGCCCATCGTGCCGGGCTGGCCCGATCGTGCCGGGCCATCCCAGTGTGCCGGTGGGGAGGCCCAGGCACAGTCCGGCAGTCGGGCCGGGCTACTTGGGCCAAGACAAAATGACGTACTGTGGGCCAGGCCTTCGGGCCTCGGGCCTTATGGCCATCTACAGTAAGACCTCGTCCTTAAATTTTGTTGATATGAAAATGAGATGTATAGTTATACTACACTGTATTTCATTTTTCAAACTGAGGAGTGAGGACTGATTGACTCCTGCATTGATGAAAATTTTATGGGACAGGCTACAAGGCGAACTAATTTTCAGTAAAATTTTCAGGAATTTTTGGCGTGTCATTTGCAGTGAACATTTATTTAAG